TGTTGCCATCTTGCGATGCTGTATTGCCGTTCTTCGCTTCTAAGTTCTTCAGGGCTCAGTGTGGTTGACCTTTTTCGCTGATATAGGTTCCATCTTTCCTCAGCTAGGACTCTGAGAGGCAGAGTACCGGGAAAAACACACACTGCATCCTCTGATATTGTGCGAAAAACGCTAGCTACTCGTAGGGCACTCAGTCGATATACTGGTCCAGCCTTTCTCCATGATTCTTGCGTCTTTAGTGCGTCGGCCCAAATGGATATTCCGTAAGTGAGCACCGATGTGACTACTGATGACAGTAATAGCCTCCTGCTCTGCTTTGGGCCTCCGACGTTCGGCATCAGTCGTGCTAGACTAGCCCTCACTACTGATGCTTTGGCACTGACATGCTCCACTTGCTGCTTGAAGTTGAGTCGGGCATCAAGCATCACTCCCAAATATCGGATATAAGGTTGTGATGTGATTTCTTGTTCGCCGACTTTCAGCTTAATGGTCTCGACAACTTTTCTGCTGGTAATAAGCACTGCCTCAGTCTTGTGTTGCGCCAGTTGCAGGTTCACTACGTCCATCCACCGGTTAACGCGCTAAAAAGTGAGATCAAACATATGGTTTATCTTGTCAAGGTGTTTGGCAACAATCACTATGGCTACGTCATCTGCATATGCTACGAGTTTGATGTTTCTTGGCAGAGTTAGTCTTAATAGGCCGTCATACATAATATTCCATAGGAACGGGCCTAGAACTGAACCTTGTGGTACACCTCCAGTAATATCATACTCCCTCGGACCGTTCTTCGTGTCATACTTCAAGACCCTATTTCCAAAGTAGCTTGTTACGATCTTAAGAAGGTATTCTGGTACATTCTTCTCTTGGAGGGCCTGCATGATGCATTCCCAATTGGCGGAGTTGAATGCGTTTCTGATGTCTAGGGTCGCCACCAGGCAATACTCTTTCGTTCCACCCTTCCATCTGGTTCCTGCGATTGCTTCCTTGGCCGTATCAACGACCAGTTTGATTGCGTCCAGGGTTGATCGTCCTTTCCGGAATCCATACTGATTGTCTGCCAGGAGTGGGTCGACTACTGCATTTATTCGTTGATGAATTATGCGCTCAAATATCTTACCCGCCGTATCTAGCATGCAAAGTGGTCGGTAAGATGACGGTTCTTCTGGTGGCTTCTTCCCTTTAGGTAACAGTACCAATCGTTGCTGTTTCCACTTACGAGGAAAAGTCCCTTTCTTGAGGCATGCATTATAAGCGTCTAGGAATAATGTTGGAGCTGCCTTTATGATGGTTTTTAAGGCTAAATTAGGGATTCCGTCCAATCCCGGGGCTTTATCATTCCCTACACGGTTACAAGCCTCCAGGAATTCTTCTTCAGTGACAGGTGGGATGTCGTCCAATTCGCCTGGCGCCAACTGGTAATCGAAGTTGCGTTGCTGTGGAAACAGTGCAGTGACGATTTTCTGAAGAAGTTGGGGACACGTAGGTGATGGCATTTGTTGTTTTTTCAGGTGGGTCATAACCACCTTATAAGGCCTACCCCACACGTCTTTATCCACCTCGTATATAAGTTCTTTCCAGCATCTTCTTTTGCTCTCTTTGATGTCTTAATTAAGTTTATGGCGCGCCTTTTTGTACTCTGCAACCAGTTCCGCAGAGTTAGTTCGTCGGTAGCCACGCTGGGATATTCTTCTCTTTTGATGACACTCTTTACGAAGGGCGCTGATATGGTCGTTCCACCTGTGAACAGAAGGTTTTGTGTTCATGCAATACGGTCAACGGGGACGATTTCGCATATATATATATCGGTCTTCGGGGACATTTTTCGGCTACGAGGACGGTACCCAAAGACGATCACGATTATCACGGTCTTCGAGGACCGTACCTGAAGCCGAATTAGGAAAATATGTTTAATACGGACTTCGAGGACCTCAATATTCACTTAAGACATATCTGTTTACTTGTTAATTGAGGTGATTATTATCGGTTAAGACTTATCGAGTCTCATTACATAGACTTAGAAAATTAAAATCTACGAGCTTTTATTTTATCAAAAGATTATGAACAATTTCAGAGTAATTCTGAAATATTTAAAAACTTAGTTATTGAATTTCTTTAGAATTCGAAATAAAAGATTTTGAAATTTAAAACTTGATAAAAAATAATAAATAAGAAAGTAACAGTCTTAGTTGTGAAAATTGATAAAATAGTTAATATATAGTTAACAGTCCTAGTTGTAAATTATGTAAGATAGAAATATATTTCAAAACCGAAAATCATACAAAATTTAAACGTACAATCAAAATTTCAGAATTTGCGGAAATAAGAGAAACTCTCATCGACAAATAGAAAATAATTGTATGAATTATTTGAGAGAAAATTTCTCAAGAAGAACGTTGCCAATTTTGTGCACGTGGACATTATCATCTAGAATCAAGTGCCTGATAGTGAATATATATCGATTTCCGAATCGTCCCAGAACCCCGATATATATGAATGTAATAGTCCTCGAACTCAATAATATATCAGCGGAGGTCTCTGAAATCAGATATATATTCCGCAAGAAAATAATCGTTACCGACTGAGAAAACGTGTAGATTTTAAATTCTTAATCTGAGAACTAATAATTTCAAATGAAAAGTCATTGAATAATTTATTTCTAAACAATACCAGATAGTTTCCTAAGTACACTGTCTGCGATTCGAGTGGTAAAATTTTACAAGAGTTTACGTTTCAGGATTCAATATATGTTTATTTAGATTGCGTGAACACACTCAATTTTTTACAAATATCCTGATTACATTATCTATCTAATTGTATCAATGTTAGAATTATCTGTCAAGACCGGTTAAGCATCTTTTTACACTTAGACCGTATATCTAGTAATCTTGCAAAAAAGTTATAAAGAATATAAAACCGGTAAAAAAATTTATACAATTGCGTGCAGACGTAATGTTCATTTTTATTAAATTATTTAAAAGGAAATTTATCAGGAAAAACCATTTCCATTTTATGCACGTGGACATTACCATCTGAAATCAGGTCCCTGGAAGTGAATATATATCGATTCATGAATCGTCTCTGAACGCAGATATATATAAAAGTAATGGTCCTCGAACTCAACTATATATCAGCGGAGGTCTCTGAAATCAGAGATATATCGCGCAAGAAACTTATAGTTACCGACTGAGAAAACGTGTTAATTTCAAATTCTTAATCTCAGAACTAGTCATTTCAAATCAAAAGTCATTTAATCATTCTTTCCTAAACAATACCAGATAATTCCCTGAGTTCACTGTCTACGATTCAGGTTGTTAAATCCCGATCACATGATCTATCTAATAATTGTATTAACCTGAGAATTATCTGGCAAGCCAAACTATGCATCTTTTTCACTTAGACCTTATATCTAGAAAACTTGCAAAAAACTTATAAAGAATATGAAACCGGTAAAAAAATTAATGCAATTTTGTACAGATGTATTGTTTATTTTATATAAACTTGTAAAAAGCAATTTCTCAGTAAAATATTTGCTAATTTTGTGCACGTGGACATTGCTACTTGAATCAGGTCCCTGATAGTGAATATATATATTAGGGTGTGCCAAAATGTATCTTCCTTGATGGACCTTTTAAAATTGGAATTTTGACTTCCGCTTTTAACAGGAGTTGTGTTTAGGCATTTCCTGTCATATTTTGAGCATAAAAGATTTATTTGATTTTTATAGAATTTTTTAACAGGAGTTTTGTTCAGCTAAATTTTGAAATTTTTAAATTCCAGCAAAAATAGCCCAACGAAACTCCTGATAAAAAATTCTATAAAAATCAAATAAATCCTTTACGCCCAAAATTTGTCAGGAAATGCCCAAACATTTACGAATCGTCTCTAAACCCAGATATATATGAATGTTATGGTCCTCGAACTTAATTATATATCATCGAAGGTCTCTAAAATAAGATATATATCGCGCAAGAGACTAATAGTTACCGACTGAGAAAACGTGTAAATTTTAAATTCTCGTAGAATTCGAAAAATTTCACGTTTTTTAAATTTGAAAAATTCCAATTTTTATTTATTCGATGAAGATTTTTTAGATTATAATTTCAGGTAAACCTAGTTTTGCTTCATAAGAACTGCTAAGTCATATTTATCAGAAATCAATATTTATTATAAATGTTAACAGAGATAATACATATTTTTAAGAATAATAGTAAAGAAAATTATATTTGACTTATGAAGAAAATAGAAAAGTGCTTCACCTGTTATCTGTTAAGTTATAGTTTTATAACACGTTATGGTAGCAGAAAAAATACAGCTTTTTATACTTATTTGTAATTTCAGGATTATAGTTTTTGATAGGATAAGAAGTAGAAATCTTTTGGAATGATACGTTCGTTAACATATCGTAAGATATTCTTATATAATGAAGAAAAACATATTTATAATCACTTATATTATATAAGCTCTATAATATTAGACAAAACTATAACACTGATAACAAAAATATAATTCTATCAATACGCAATAACATTAAACTTACAAGTTCCAACTTAATCTGTGCCGTGTTCAATTTCTCTATAAACCGAAAGATTTTTTAATCGTCTTTAACTTATCAAGGTCAGCACAACATCCAAGCTATCGTTTGTCCAAGTTTTATAAATTTTTCTGAATCAAATAGCTCATATTTTTACCGTATTTTTTACTAGAAAAAAAAATTAAAATCGTTTAAGGAAAAAATTCTGTTACCAAGGAAATTATTTTCAAGTTTTTTATCGTCCAAAAGCAAGGCAAAAAATTAATCAATCTAGTCAAATTTAATTAAGTGAAGATATTTTTTTAGTTTACGAAATTTTATCCTAAAATAAAGACCGTAAAATTAGTGAAATTAATTTTCTTGGTTCTAGACTTTTTTATTTCGTTGTGTTAGTTTGTATTCAAGCGAAGAACTCCACAGTCTTTCAAGAATTTATTCCAAGTCATGCAAGAAGTCTATTCACGTATTATTGTTTTTTCTTCTTATGATAAAGGTTACTAAACCATGATCGGATGAGAGGATTTTCTCGTCTTGTTAATCTTGGATCTTTTGATCTTACAGCGGTCATTTCTTCTTCAGTTGGGTATTTGCGCTGAGCCAGTTTTTCTGCAAAATGCTCTTTTAAAGCACTTATCTCTGATGGAGTCCAAATTCGTCTTTTGATTGGAATAGTTATATTTATGTCCAAATCTATAATTAAAAAGAAATAAATAATTATAGTTATTTTCGATAAAGAAGAAAACATTAATGGAATTGAAAATAAATTTCTAGAAAAAATGCATTACAAATAATAAGAGAAAATTGCTACTCATACCTTCATCACCACTTTTTTCTGATACTTCGACGTGATCATTAACGTTGGATTCAGAGTCACTTTCATCGGATTCCGAAGAACCATCTGTGATGTCATCTTGAGCTGGACTGTTATCAACAGTATTGGTAGCGTTATCAATACCGCAGGCACGACTAAGAACAATTGGCAGCTCACAAATTTCTTCTGCTATGTTAACCAAATGATAATAATTTTCGTGAACTCCCATCGTATGGCCTAAATGATTTGCTAACTTTTTTCGATCAATATTGTTAATATTGGGGTTAACAAAATACGTAGCCATATGTTTTCGTAATTCAGTTGCACGTAAACTTTTTGGAATTTTGGCACCACAGTCCTTTGAAAATTTTCTCATCAGTTCACAAGACCTCAAATACTTATGGTCCTCGGTAATACTTCCAGGAACAGCAAAGATGAAAGGATTTTTCTTGTTAATTTTAGCGTTTTCACGGTTTTTAATCAATAAATTGATCGCGTTCAACATTCCTTCATCTAATATGACCGTGGCATCTCGCAAATTTTGTTTTCCTCTAATAGAAAATCGAACATATTTATCACATAATTTTCTCGCTTGAGCTGACAAAGTTTTCATTATGTCTGGGTGATTTTCTTCGTTCAATCTATCATAGTCATTGAAATCTTCAATCAGAATTCTCTCAGTCTCACCAGGTCGTCTTCTATTGAAAATTTGAACGCGTAATAAAGTCGTTTTTGCAAGTAGGTTGTAACTAGAATTTGAATACATTACAGAAAGTTCATCGTAAGCTTGTTCGTGAAGTTTAGTCAAATATTCCGTTAGCTTGTAAATATCTTCCGTATTTGGTAACTTTTTTTCTTTCTTTCTCTTTCTTCTCTGTTTGGCTTGAGCTTCTTCAACATTTTTATTAATAACATTTGCCCATTTCTGATTTATAACATGTAAAAAGTCTTTGATATTCTCATTGGACTCTTTTTTTTTTCCATAATGTTTTCACTCATAAGAAAATCTCCCAAATGTTTCAAAAATTGACCACATGAACTTGCAACTGACGGAGCTTTTGAATCGTAAGTTTTTTTATCTATACCAGCTAGAATATTTACTGCTTTAATGCATATTTTGACGTTTTCTGGATCAAACAACGATATCATGTCAGTAACAGGAGTCTTTGAATGAATTTGACGATTCGATTTCTTTTTTTTTATAATTTCTGCTTCTACCGCTTTCACAGTGTTTAAAAGTCTTGCTAACAAACGTAGTCTATTTCTAATGAGCTCATCAGTTTGTGGATTTTTATACTTGTCACATAGCATATTTCCGTAGTGTATAAGCAAATAATCATATTTTAAGGTTTTTGATGCTTCATCCACATGCATGTGGGCTATCAGTCGTCGCAACTTTTTGCATGTATCAGGGTGAAAGTCATTCTCGTAAATCTTTGAAATTTTTTTAATAATTCTACGGTGCTTCCCTGTCTGACCAGAACAAGATGCAAAATGTGCAGAGAGAAACTTTTTACTTGTTAAAACTTTACAGCTAGGACAAAATGCAAAATCAGAAGGAGTTTTCTCTATGGTTCGAACATGATTTCTTGGCCGCCGTAATACAATTAATTCATGCTCTTTTGCTCCAGGTTTAATGACCAAATTATGCTTTGCGTCTCCGTCACATCTGATTTTCCGGATTTTTTCAAGCCTTATCGGATCTTTAGTCTTTAGAGCATTAATTTTTTTAACATCTTCTTCGTCTTTATGAACTCTCGTTAAATGTCGAGCTATTTTAAAGTACAACTTACCACAGTAAAGACAAGCATGCTGTTTAGGACCTGATTTAGAGTCATTTACGTAAATTCTTGGTCTTTCAGATGAGGTGGATGGAATTGGAGCAGGTAAATCTACATCATATGCTTTTGCGATAGCATTTTCTTCGATAACTATTGTTCTATTTTGTACACATGTAGTTTTCTTAACAGCATAATCTTTAGTCACTACAGAAGCGTTATTTTCTTCAATCGAAGATTCATCCGCTAGGTCAGGTACATATTCTGACACCGAATAGTTTTTAATGAAAGGTCGATAGGAAAAAAAAAATTTTAATTTTTAAAAATTAATTACAAGAAATTTGTTTCATCTAAATTTTAATTTTGAAATACAGTTTAATTTACAACTGTAATTTACAGTTTAGAAAACACTTTTTTTAAAATTTTCAAAGTTAAATATCTCACGAACGAATCGACCGATTTTAACGAACTTCCCAACGTTTGACACAGTATTTTAAGCAGTAATAGTTATCCCTCTACATCAAAAATGATTTAAGAACAAATTTCGAAGTTATTCGAAAAAAAAACACTTTTTCCAAAAATTTTCGTGAACGATTTATCTTCGACGCTTTAACCGATTTTGATGTAGTTTGCAAAAATCTACGTCATTTCTTTAGTTAAAGTGTTGATTATATTTTAAAATAGATCGTTCAACCTGTTTGAAAGTTAATCCAAAAAAATATTTTTTTTTTAATTTTATATTTGAGATATCTTGAAATCTACTGGTCTGAATTGGTTCAAATAGTATAAAAAATCTAAGTTCAGTCAAGACCTCGGCTGCCCAATTTCGAAACACAGTAACTGACAATTTTGATAATTTTAAAAATTTTTCTTATTAGAAAAAATTAGGAAAACGGTTGACCCTGAAGGCCATCCCTGAAACTTCCCGCTACATTCGTAATTAAGCGCTCAACATTGCACCGATTACGTTTTTGAGCTCAAAAAGCTCAAAAAGATAATTTTCGTGTAGTTTTGAGCTCTCCGAGCTCAAAAGTCTGATAGAAATTTAATAAAACACTATTTTTTGAATTTTCAAACCCCAATTACTTTTGAATGAATGAACCGATTTTCACGTGGTTGGCGCAATCGACGCAGTATTTCAAATTCTATGATACATTTTTAAACACAAATCGATAAGACCGAAAGTTACGGTGTAATTAAAAAAAAACTTTTTTTCGATTTCTTTCGTCAATGATAACTCACAAACAAATCAACCGATTTAGACAAGATTGGTGGTGATCGACGTGGTTTTTTGATGTTAAGAGCTGTTAAGAGTTTTTGGGATTGATCGGTCGAGCCGATGTTTTGAGGTCCCAGAAATCTTCACTGTCTATTTTTATGGTGGTGTCCGTCAAACTGTGTGTGTGTGTATGTGTGTGTGTGTGTGTGTGTGTGTGTGTGTGTGTAAACCTCTCACAACTTCTGAACGGCTCGACCGATCTTGAACAAAACTTTAACATTCCAAAGAGTATCGTTGCCATTAAATTTCCGAAAAATTTGAACCATTTCGGTTCGCTAGATTTTCAGATATCTCAAAATCAAAATTATCGAAAAATAGTTTTTTTGAAATAATTTCTAAGTGGCTTTATCGATCCAACCCTAAAACTCATCAGCTCTTAACTTTAGAAAACCACGTTGATCGCCGCCACCACGTTGAAAACCACGTTAACATCGGTTGATTCGTTTGTGAGATCGCAAGCCAAAAATTTCCGAAAAAGTGATTTTTCAAATTTTGAGCTCGAAGAGCTCAATAGCATGAAAAAAACATCTTTGTGCTTGGAGAGCTCAAAATGACATCTAAATCGTTTGAGATTAGCGAGAAGTTGCAGGGATAACCTTTAGGGTTAACTGTTTTTCAAATTTTGTTTCTTGTATTTTCAATTGCTAATTAGAATTCGAGAAAAAAAATGATTCTTTATTGAGAAATGACGATTTTCAATTGCTATCTTCGTTGTAATTTTTTTCTGAAGGGTAATTTACGCGGAGTCCAGACAAACCGTATTAAATTTATAATAATAATGGAGGTTTTACTTGTATCACTTGGGCAGTGTTTTACAAGGGAGGGTGGGCTATTATTTCTAACTTCCCTTTGTTACACAACACACTTTTCTTCCCAGCTCTACTTTGTATTTACTTCCATCATTATTATCACTTCATTATACTCACTACTTCTTTTGACCCCACCCCGCTGCATGACGGGATTTTTTTCATTCCCAACACACACTTCTTAATGCGGCTTTTAGATACCAGTATTATATAATAGATAATTGGAATCACTTATTGCTAAATGATGTTTAATTATTAATCAGTGTACCTGAATTTAGGTTACCAGAAAAATGTTATTGTTTAAACAAGTTTGTTAATTAATATAAGGATATTTATACTGAAGTAGATATCAGTAAAGCCAATTGTAAGGTAATACTTCAGGCACCACGTATGAATGGCATTTATTGTATTTGTATGAATGAGTTATTATATGGGTATGGCAGCAACCAGAGTAAATCAGTAATTAGTTTTTTTACCCAGGTTACAGTCAAGCCGGGTGGTGTTACGATGTTGGCCATCGTCTAAGCTTGGGTAGCCTCGGGCGTATTCAAATAGTACAACAGCATGGCCGCTGAAGCTATATAAGCGTGTGCAACCATGCTGTTGGAGCTCTATTAGATTCTTATTCTAAGCCATAGGCCTCTTGCCGCCTACTACTGCCAGAAGCCTATTGTGCTTTTGCTCACATTTACCAGAGTTTGCCATTGTAATTAACAATTATTAGTCTTTTGTACTATTGCACTCTTGTTGCTAATTAAATTACGAGTATCTCTAACTCCTTTCGAATGGATAACTAGTAAATTGAGCAGGCAGAAAAGTAGTCTTTTTCCTATTTTGCTGATAAATAGTTTGATTCCGTTTTGATTATTTTGTGATAAATAATTCAATTTTTCCTTAACTGATAATCTGACCAGTATAAGTATATTCACATCAGTTAATTTAGTTTAGTTTAAATTATACTAATTTACTACGTGTTGAAGAGTGAATGTTTGCTAAGTTGAGCAACAAGTGGTGATATATTATTCAGTATTATTGAATAAATCATTCATTAAACGAAGATCCAGTTTATTATATTGTTCTTCGTCCACATCATCCAATTCGAGGTTGAGGTTGATTTCACGTCAACGTGTAGCAGAGCCAATATTCCAGTTCATACCAGGAAGCTGACCATCTCTCGAATTCCAACTAAGTCGAATACTTGTTATGCTTCCATCTAGTGGATGTTATTTTTATTTATTTAAAACTTTACTTACTGTAGTTCTTTCGCCCGGGAGTATTAAAATACTCGGTTTCAGTGCGGGAAAGGAATAATTTTAAATAAAAGAATTCTATTTAGACGTAATTTAATTTTGATCAAAATTATTTAGTTGGTTCCAATTTATTATTCGAGTTGACAAAATATTAAAAGCTTCAAAATATAAAATTGAGGTTTACAATGACGTGATCTTAGCAATCTAATCTCTCGATGAGAAGTGTCGTTACATAGTTTTTCCGAAGATCTTCAAACTCCGTTCTTCTCCCACCATAACTTCCACACATACATCCACTCTAAGGAATATATAAATACATACATTTTCTACTACATATAAATGATCCTTATACACTAACATGTATTTTCTCTATATCTATATATATTTACTTCAGCCTATCGACCTGAAAGTTGGACTTCACTTATATATACTTTTAGCAATACAGTCATTATGTTTATCCAACTATTCTTATTAAGTTAACAAACCCTTTTTAAAATCTATTAAATTACAATAAAATTATAGTAAATTATAACATGAAAGTATAAATATTATATTATTTATAATATGTTGGACTAACGTTTGAGTTTGAATAATTAATAATTCGAATTAAATATTATTTCTATCATTTTACAATCGAGTTTTCTAATAAAATTATAAGTCATTTTAATTATTATCCTGTATAAAAGAATAGATATTATTATTTAATTATAAATTAAATAATAATTAGATAATGATTTAATAATAAATTAATAGTAAATTAGTTAACTAATAATTATTAGTTATAAATTAAATATAAGATACTAATTATTAATTATTTTAACTCAATTTTGCTTAACTACAATATTATATAAAGTTAGATTTTAACAGTAAATGTTATTTAACAATATTACTTTTGTTTAGTTACATATGTTTTTTTATTATTCTTTGTTACTTTAGAACAAGGATCTATTGAATTTCACACGTGTCTTTTACGACTTCTCCTCATAGGGTTTTAAGTTTCATCAGGCGAGAAAGTCCTTGAATTACTCAAGTACTTTTTATGGGTTTTGAAAATTCGGTTACAATGTACCTTTGTACCGAAATATGTTTTTTTTTATTCTATTTTATTTTATTTTGTAAATAAAACAGAGTTAACCAAAAGATGTTTATTGTACAACTGGTAAGAGTAAAAGCATTAAATAAAGGACTGGAATATTAACTAATTTTAATCATTTAATATTTACTAGTTTGAATATTTCGTTTGAATTCGCGCTCTCATAATAGATAGCGCTCTAATAACAGGTAGCGTCACCTGTTGGATGCACTGGGTGCATCACAACGGTTGTATCGTAGTGAATTTTAATAAAAATTCAATGAAAAAAAAAAAAAAATACGTACAGTCGGCGACAAGTATTGTAACAATATTGTATAGTACGCCATCTAGCAAGTGTCGCTGATATCCTATTAAAATTAATATTATTATAAATATTGAACATTTAACAAACAAAAACTTTGCTAAAAGCATAAAAATAAAAAAAAAAATAAGATTATTAACGTAACAAATTTTTATAGATCTTGAAGCGTGTGTAAGTTTTTTTTTTGTTCGTCAAATTTGATGATATTTTATTTTATAACCTAATCTATTTGAAGTGAACTCATCAGATTAAATTCTAATATTTATCCTTGTGCAATCGGATGAAATTTAGAACAAAATAAATCAAATTCTAGTGTACCGACCGATGGATTTTGAGTAAATTTTAAACTTAGTTACTATTGAGTGGCGCTAATTCTTTCTCTGCAGACAGTTTATTACGAAGCGGACATAATGTTAATAAAATAACAAGTGAGTCATAAATAAATATTAATAAAAAGATAATTAATATAAAATTAAGTTTTTTTGCTCTTGTGAAACTTCATAAAATTTGAATGTCATTATTTGCCTCCTATCCCTCAAAAGTTAAACTTATGGAGCGATAATAACAAAAAATATTGTATGTCATTTGGCCACTAAGTGGTGATTTTGACAACGACGGTTTTACGATATTCGCTTTAAAGTTTGTGACGCGAATTTACGAAAACGACCGTAAATTTCCGTCCTCGGCTTCACCTCGGACGTTAAAATTGCGCCCGTTTCCGTTCATTCCCGCCACGAACCTTAAGCTCATATCGCAACATCGTCGTTGTCAGAAAATCGCCACTTTGCGGCCATATGACATAAATTACTATTAATTATGTTTTATAGATTTTTTTTTTTCATATTTGTAACTGCAATTTTCTCGATTTTTTTGGTTTTTTGAGATTTTTAAAAATTTTAAAACGTTAACGGAGCGAGAAAACTTCAGATTCAAATTCAGCGGAAAAAAATACATGAAAATCATACTCAATCTGAGTCCAAAAAAATTTTTATTTCGAAAACTTTAGTTTTTCATGATTTATTGCAATTTTTTTAGGTTTTTCGTTTTTTTTTTTTTTTCAAATTTGGACGGTTCATGGGGCTAATTTACTTTTAGATTTGAATTCAGCACATTGAAATACATCAAAATCATACGTGATCCGCGTCCACAAAAATTTTTTTATTGCTGTAATTGCAGTTTTTTGCAGTTAACGAAGTAGCCACTTTACGCCTCCGTCGAGGAAAAAAATAGTATACACTCCTCGGGAAGTAAATAAGAAAGCCTCAGATCACATGTAATTGTTGGCCGAGGCGAAGCCGACATTTCTTACTTTACTTCCCTAGGGGTGTAATGTACTATTTTGTCGCAAAGCAGACATTTTATAATTTTTCAGCCACACAGCAGACTGTTTATAGTTTATTTTTTCCTGCAAAACAGACATTTAATAATTTTTCAGACGAACAGCAGACTGTAAATTTATTTATTTTGAATCGCACAGCACTCTTAATTTTGTTTTGTCTCAAAGCAGACATTTAATAATTTTTCGGCCGTACAGCAGACTGTGGATTGATTTATTGTATATCGCACAGCAGACTCTCAATTTTTTTTGTCCCAAAGCAGACTATTAAAGTTTTTACTGCTTAGTCGCACAGCAGACATTTAATTTTTATTTTGTCGCAAATTTGAAATTTAATTATTTTTCACCTGAACAGCAGACTATAGATTTACTTATTTTGAAACGCACAGCAGACTCTTAATTTTTTTTTTGTCGCAAAGCGGGCATTTAATAATTTTTCAGCCGTACAGCAGACTGTAGAATTGTTTATTTTGAATCGCACAGCAGACTCTTAAATTTTTTTCTGTCGCAAAGCCGACATTCAATAATTTATTTTGAATCGCACAGCAGACTATTATTTTTTTTTTTTGTCGCAAAGCAGACATTTAATAATTTTTCAGCAGCATAGCAGACTCTTAATTTTTTTTTTTTTGTTGCAAATCAGATATTCAATAATTTTTCAGCCGCACAGCAGACTGTAGATTTATCTATTCTGAATCGCACAGCAGACTCTCAATTTTTTTTTTTGTCGCAAAGCAGGCATTTAATAATTTTTCAGCCGCACAGCAGACTGTAGATTTATCTATTCTGAATCGCACAGCAGACTCTCAATTTTTTTTTTTGTCGCAAAGCAGGCATTTAATAATTTTTCAGCCGCACAGCAGACTGTAGATTTATCTATTCTGAATCGCACAGCAGACTCTCAATTTTTTTTTTTGTCGCAAAGCAGGCATTTAATAATTTTTCAGCCGCACAGCAGACTGTAGATTTATCTATTCTGAATCGCACAGCAGACTCTCAATTTTTTTTTTTGTCGCAAAGCAGGCATTTAATAATTTTTCAGCCGCACAGCAGACTGTAGATTTATCTATTCTGAATCGCACAGCAGACTCTCAATTTTTTTTTTTGTCGCAAAGCAGGCATTTAATAATTTTTCAGCCGCACAGCAGACTGTAGATTTATCTATTCTGAATCGCACAGCAGACTCTCAATTTTTTTTTTTGTCGCAAAGCAGGCATTTAATAATTTTTCAGCCGCACAGCAGACTGTAGATTTATCTATTCTGAATCGCACAGCAGACTCTCAATTTTTTTTTTTGTCGCAAAGCAGGCATTTAATAATTTTTCAGCCGCACAGCAGACTGTAAATTTATTTAATTTTAGTCGCGCAGCAGCCTTCTAAATTTTTTTTTGTCACAAAATAGACATTTAATAGTTTATCAGCCTCACAGCAGATTCTTATTGTATTAATTATTAGTTTCTCAGCAGACTTGTCAATTTTCGTTTGTCGCAAAGCAGACATTGAATAGTTCATCAGCCGCACAGTAGACTGTTAATATCTTTTTTTTTGCAAAGTAGACATTCAATAATTTATTATTTTCTCTGCAGTTTATGAATTTATTTATGTCTTGGTCACACAGCAGACTTTTTATATTTATTCAGCTGCACAGCAGACTGTTAATTTTTTTATTGCTCAGTCGCATAGCAGACTTGTCAATTTTTATTATTTCTAGTCGTAAAGCAGAGTTTTAATAGTTTATTAGCCGCACAGAAGATTAAGTATTTTTATTTTCTAGTCTTAAAACTGACTTAATAGTTCTTTAGCTGCACAGCATACTGTAAATATCTTTATTTTTTTGTCGTACCTCAGACTGCTAAAATATTCATCTGTTAGCCGCACAGCAGACTTTTAATCTATCTATTTCTTAGTTGCAAAGCAGACTTTTTATAGTTTATCAGCCGCACTGCAGACAGTTTATGTATTCATTTCTTTCTTTCTCAAACAGCAGACTTCTAATATCTTTTCTACAGTAGAAATTTTTTTACAATAGAATAAAAAAAAATCCTAAATTACATACAAGAAATAACTGTATATTCACAGTCATATTGCTATTCAGTACAAATATATAAATATATATACTTACGTATATACATGTATATTTCTGTCTTCAGATATATGTAATGTTATTTTCTAATTAAACATTAATAAATATAAAAATATACAGAAATATAAATATAAACGTATATTCAGACATGTATACATTCGTCTATTGAAGATATTAAAGTTGTAAATTATTACAATCAATCAATATCTTGTTAATAATAAATAAACTTTAAAAAAAAAAATAATTTACTAATTTTATTCATTATGTGAATAGTTAGGTTATGTTAAATTTATTGCAACGTCACCAATCCACAGACCCGGTAAAGTTTGGCGCCAAGTCCCGTTTTTGATGTATACTAATCTTTTATGTATACTAAGTACATTTGTTAATTCGTCGGCAATGGATGCATTCGGTTCACCTAAGTTGTAACTGTGAGTTAGTACACATGCGTACACTTACAACTTTAATAACTTACTAAATTAAGTACAAAATTAGAAATTTTTGTTGGTCGAACACGCCCATTTACTAATGTCACACCTAAGCGTCACTACTGATCAGGCTGATCAGGGGTGGGCACGTAAAATACTATACGTATAATACTGTTATGCTTTCATCTAGTGGATGTTATTTTTATTTATTTAAAACTTTACTTACTGTAGTTCTTTCGCCCGGGAGTATTAAAATACTCGGTTTCAGTGCGGGAAAGGAATAATTTTAAATAAAAGAATTCTATTTAGACGTAGTTTAATTTTGATCAAAATTATTTAGTTCTTTTTAATTTATTATTCAAGTTGACAAGATATTAAAAGCTTGAAAATATAAAATTGAGGTTTACAATGACGTGATCTTAGCAATCTAATCTCTCGATGAGAAGTGTCGTTACATAGTTTTTCCGAAGATCTTCAAACTCCGTTCTTCTCCCACCATAACTTCCACACATACATCCACTCTAAGGAATAATGTATAATGATCCTTATACACTAACATGTATTTTCTCTATATCTATATATATTTACTTCAGCCTATCGGCCTGAAAGTTGGACTTCACTTATATATACTTTTAGCAATACAGTCATTATGTTTATTCAACTATTCTTATTAATTTAACAAACCCTTTTTAAAATCTATTTATAATAAAATTAACTTATAATTAACTTGAAATTAAGTTACAATAAAATTATAATAAACTATAACATGAAACTATATATATTATATTATTTATAATATGTTGGACTAATGTTTGAGTTTGAATAATTAATAATTTGGATTAAATATTATTTCTATCATTTTACATTCGAGTTTTCTAATAAAATTATAAGTCAGTTTAATTATTATCCTGTATAAAAGAATAGATATTATTATTTAATTATAAATTAAATAATAATTAGATAATGATTTAATAGTAAATTAGTTAACTAATAATTATTAGTTATAAATTAAATATAAGATACTAATTATTAATTATTTTAACTCAATTTTGCTTAACTACAATATTATATAAAGTTAGATTTTAACAGTAAATGTTATTTAACAATATTATTTTTGTTTAGTTACATATGTTTTTTTTTTATTATTCTTTGTTACTTTAGAACAAGGGTCTATTGAATTTCACACGTGTCTTTTACGACTTTTCCTCATAGGGTTTTAAGTTTCATCTGGCGAGAGTCCTTGAATTACTCAAGTACTTTTTATGGGTTTTGAAAATTCGGTTACAATGTACCTTTGTACCGAAATATGTTTTTTTTTTATTTTATTTTATTTTCTTTTGTAAATAAAACAGAGTTAACCAAAAGATGTTTATTTTACAACTGGTAAGAGTAAAAGCATTAAATAAAGGACTGGAATATTTACTTCGAATATAAAATTTAACTAATTTTAATCATTTAATATTTACTAGTTTGAATATTTCGTTTGAATTCGCGCTCTCATAATAGATAGCGCTCTAATAACAGGTAGCGTCACCTGTTGGATGCACTGGGTGCATCACATACTAAGTATTGGTGTTGGTAATTTAGTAAATTGTGAGGCATTAGTTCGAGGTATTTATCTTTAGACTTAAATATTAACCCGAGTCTCTGTAGCCGGCAGAACTCACTATTTGAAACGAACCCTGGAAGGTAGAGTCTAAAGTATCAATTTTATAGTTTAATTATTAAATTATTTATTATTCAATTTAATTAAACTTAATCTAAATCCACTACGTTTTCAATAACGTACCCCAACGTTTTAACTTATAGACAATCACAAGTTTATCACAATTGGCACGCAAAGAATTTTTATCCGACCATTAGTCACCCGTAATAAGAGGCTTATCATATCCAATGTCCAGCCCATTATACCCAATGATATCATCGCTCAAAAACTCGAAGAGGCTAAAACAACGCCAATGTCTGCGGTAACAACCCTCCGTGCCAGACTAAGCGCCCCCGGTCTTCAGCACGTAATGAGTTTCCGACGTCAGGTTTATATCAAACCCGAAGACGTCGAGAAGATCCCCAGCTCTTGGAAAATCGACTTCGACGATACAACCTACTGGATCTACCCCACACTCGATAACATAATTTGCTTCTTATGCAAACAGAAAGGTCACCTAACTAAATCATGTCCCACCAAGACTAGTGAAACTGGCGAAACTGACGAGAACAAGGCGAACAAAACAATAATAGATATTAAAAAAACTCAAAACCCATCTGACAATTCAACAAGACATCCTCAAGTAAGCAACTTTCCCACCCTTTCAGCAAAACGCCCTCTCTCAACTTCATCAACGGAAAATAAGCTTAACACTATCGAACCAACCAGCTCCTTGATATTTCAAAAACCAGCGCCTCCCATTCGAACCCGGACGTTCAAAAAATCCAAGAAAACTGACGCAAATCCCACAGTAAAAGAACCGACATATTTACCGACTATTGAAACGGAACTATTAGCCAACCCAACGAAATACCAGTACAATTATGTGCAGATCTGTGAACTTTTGGAGAAACTCAACCAAAAAAAAACGACTCGATCGAGTTATCAATGAGTTAAAATTAGAATCAGCATGTCTCGCCACGATGTTAAGGAAGCTCTACCCACTACTAGAACAAAGAAACCACAAAAACCGCTTTACCAGAATCATAAACAAGTGCGAATCTGCAGTACTCACGGATATATCTGACTCTTCCGATCATACTGACTCCGAAAGTGGAATGCAGATAGGGGACACCCTTACTCAACCCAATCCCAAGTAAATTTTCCTACCAACCTACAAATATGAGCATACTTCAGTGGAATATCAACGGTCTCTTGGCAAAAAAGGAGCACCTACAATTATTGATCGCTAAATATAACCCTGACAGTATCTGTATACAAGAGACAAACTTTAAATCTGACTATTACTACAGTCTAAGTGGGTATCAGTCAGCCCAAAAAAACAGATTAATCAACTTAATCCCCCTTAACACTAATCTGTAATCTCGAAGCCGTCGCTGTCCACATCAACATACCATATAAACTATTTAGTACGGACACGCGAGGCTTAGAAATAGAAAAATGGTTGGATAATCAGGAAAACCTAATACTACTAAACAACGGCGCATGCACACACACACTTCAACACCAATTCCGGGCAACACTCCGCTATAGACCTCTCGTTAGCATCGACCGAAATAACTCCCCACCTACATTAGAAAGTCATCACCGACTCATACGACAGCGACCACTATCCAATCGTCATCAGTGATACCAGATACCAAAATGACTCCAGACACCAAACCAAATACCCCAAATGGAAACTAAATCAAACCGATTGGAAATCTTACAGCAATAAAATTCTCATAAATATGGACACCCAACCACATCTCAACCAACTCACTGAAATACCTGTAGACACAATACTCGAACAATTTACAACAACCATTACTAATGCTGCAAAAAAATCCATCCCCAGAGATGACGGTACAAAATTACCAAAATCGGTACCCTGGTGGAATAAAAATTGTAAAACAGACATCCGAGCAGCCAAAAAAGCTTTCCGCAAATACAAACCGCACCAAAATGAAACAAACAAGATTCTCTACAAACAAAAAAGAGCAGTAGCAAGAAGGACGATCAAACAAAGCAAACGAAATTTTTGGCACAACTACACATCATCACTAACCGTAAACACTCCACTATCCCAGGTGTGGCATAAGATCAGAAGCGTCAGTGGCAATCACACACAGCACACAAATCCTCGTCTTATCCGACCAGATGGTAGCTCCAACCTTAGTATCCACGAAACAGCTGACATTCTTGCAGACAATTTCGCAGCGAACTCCGACGACTCTAACTACTCTCAACGATTTAAAGATTACCGTGATTCCTATAAACACAAACCAACCATTGAAACCTATCACATTGACCCTATCAATAGACCATTCACCAACAATGAGCTCCGTAACACCCTCGTTAGCTTCGGAAACACCAGCCCGGGACCAGATAATATTTTAAATGCAATTGGAATGATCTGCAACCTACCTGATAAAGCAATTGAATACCTACTAAAATTATACAACTACATCTGGTGCAACCAGGTATTCCCGAACAAGTGGAAGAAAGCTCTAGTCTGCCCAATACTCAAGCCCAAACGAGACCAAACCCAACCTTCAATCTACAGATCGATTGCACTAACCTGTAATCTGTGCAAACTAATAGAGAACATGATCACAAAATGGCTACGATGGCGTCTGGAACAAGACAGGTTCTTTTCTCCACACCAATATGGTTCACGTGGATCACGATTAACAATGGACCATCTAGTTAATCTAGAAGCTAATATCTGTGAAGCGCTTGCTCTCCACGGTCACCTGCTCATAGTCTCAATGGACATTGAGAAGGCTTACGAAATGACATGGACAGACAGGATCCTGACTATACTAAATAATAATGGTTTTTTTGGAAATATAATAGCCTGCATAATGCAGTTTGTCAGAAACAGAAAAATCAGGGTGAGAATCAGCAATACATTATCAAAAAGCGTATCAATTGAAAATGGCCGACCCACTGGATTTGTACTCAGTGTACTGTTATTCCTAATCGCCATAAACCAAGCTCCAACAATCATAAAAAACCCCATGTATAAAAGCCTATTCGTTAATGACTTAGCATTCGCATGCTTCGGGAAGAACGCTGATCTTACCATCGCAAAAGCTCAAAACACTATCAACAGTCTCCAAAATTGGGCAGATGAAACAGGATTCAAGTTTTCAGCCGAAAAAACAGAATTCATTATTGTCAGTCGCAACCACTCCGTAATTAATAAAATCATCGAACTCACACTAAACTATCAACCAATAAAAAGGACCGACACAATCAAGATACTAGGAATGACAATAGATACTAGATCATCCTGGATACCACACATAAAAAAACTCAAGAACGATTGCTACAAGCGCTTGCGGACCCTCAAACTTCTGGCATCAAAGAAATGGAGAGCAGATACCAGCATCCTACTGAAAATCTATAAGAGCCTTATAAGACCCAAGCTGGACGATGGCTCAGTCCTCTATGACTCTGCAAACTCCACAATATTAGGTACCCTAGACTCAATACAAAACACCGCACTACGCACAAGCCTAGGAGCATTCATAACTAGCCCAGCCAGTAGCCTTGAAGCAGAGACAGGGATCCCGCCACTCAGCATCAGAAGAAAAGAACTGAGTATCAGGTACGCTATATCCATCTCATCCACTCCCAATAACCCAACATACCCGAACATGCTCGACGAACCACCAGCGACAATATTCAACAATCAACCACGATCTGCCAAACCAATCCGGATACGTGTACGGAAATACTGCGAACAACTCGGCATCATTATCCCCAAGGTCTTTCTGCGCAATACTCCACCTATTCCTGCATGGGACCCAGACCTAATGGTTGATATATCACTCTCCAACTATAACCAAACCATCACAGGCAAACGCACATATCGAATCCTATTCCAAGAACTCCAAAATAAAAACATAAACCACAAGGAGTATTACACTGACGGATCAAAAATAGAAGACACCACAGGTTATAGCTACCAGAAAGAAGGGCAGTAGCTATATCCTCCCCTCACGAAGTAATGCCTAACGGCGGTTGCCATGAGAGATTAGAGGAAAGAGGAAAGAGGTTTAGGGTTTAGTGGGTAGGGGCGTTAGCGTCAAGTTTTAGTATGACGCTGCGTCGAGTCGCCACATATCCAGGCCAACAACTATGCCTAGAATCCGTAAAAAGGATTCCCCCTCCCCCTCAAAAAAACACACACACACACACACACCAAGTATGCAATATGTGCTGAGCAGCAAGGAGCAAAGGACGTGGCTCACCATGCCGGCTCCTACAGATGCCCGGTATTTCAGGAGGCGCTCCAGAAGCTGACGAACAAACAAGCATGAGGATATTGCAGCTCAATCTCAACCATTGTGAGGCAGCGCATGACCTGCTCATGCAATCCGTGCGAGAATTAGAGCTGGACTTGGTACTGATAGCAGAGCCATATAAACACCTGAGTACCCAACCCTGGGAATCTGACAGCACATCCAAAGCTGTCATCTGATCATGTGGCAAGCTTTCTTTTCAAAATGCAGTCGACAACAGCAATGCCAGCTTTGTAGCAGTATCAGTAGAAGGCATCCGTTTCTATAGCTGCTACGCACCACCTAGCCTCTCCATTGTTGACTTCACTGATTTCCTGGATCGACTAACCGAAGATGCGAAGCAATACCATCCAGTAGCGGGAAAGTGTTGGACATCTACACTGCCAGCGACCATCATGCGATATTCTGGGAAATATCAAGCGAACAGAACCCCAAGAGACCAGTCAAGCAGTCTAACATCGTTGGTTGGAAGGTAAAATCTTTTGACCCAGAAGCATTACTAATAGCCCTCGATGGTGATCCGATCAACACTAGATTAGCAGAAGAACAGACTAAGGACCTGATAAGGAGAGTAACACATGCTTGTGATGCCAGTATGCCTCGTAAACGTGGCATAAATTCTAGACCTTCAGTGCATTGGTGAAACGACCACATCAGCGTCCTCCGTAAAGAGTGTCATAAGAAAAGTAGAATCTCTCAGCGCGGCTATCAACGGCCCAACTCAGTGGAGCTGATCGCTGAGTACAAGAAGGCGCGCCGTGAACTGAATAATATCAGTAGCTTATATAGAGATATAGTGGTAATGGTGACGAAAACGTAACAGTTATAATAGAATCCGCACTGCGTCGTTGCAGTTTGACATTACTAGGGCCTCATGGGTATTAACGCTAGTCTCACTATTTGACTCGAATACTGATCGTAGCTTGGTACTCGTGGTTTTCCGTCGGTGTACAGCGTCGTCTTAGACTGGTTGGTTCTCTTTCACTTGACTTCTTCTCACCACGTTGTCCTCGTTCAGTTGTTTATTTTTACAAGAATCTATACGAATTAACAAAAATTATTTTCTTTTTCTTATAACATTTATTCGATATGAGATTAAAGACTGGTGGGTAATAAAATCAAGTATTACTTTTTAACTTCAAGGATTGAGCGTGAAGTCCATTCTCCATATCACAATATTGTACGCCTCATGGCGTGAAGCGCGTGAGGTTGTGCTTTATACTTGACTCGTCAAGGTCAAGCAATTTTGTGATCTTTAAATGCCTCTATCACAACTATATTATACTTATACAATGATATAAGTAGATGTACACCGAAAAAATACTTAAATTAAACTATCTTTTACTTTCTAAAATCATTTCATGTTGCTATTTTGAAAAAGAAAATGTTTTGAAAAAAATTTTACGTAGACGTCCAGATGTCACCCCATTTTGGATGTACCAACGATTACTCCTGAACAAATTGATATTTCAAGACAGGACCTTTTTGAGTAGTTTAAGAATTCGATCAACTGGGTCCGTATTTCATATCAGTGGCCTAGTTAACGTATTTTTTTTTTAAATTGAATTTTCAATAAAATTCACTACGATACAACCGTACAAAAATGAGCGAACTTTTCTTATTTGTCACGTAAAAACTA